AGACGTTTCATGACCCAACTAGGTAACATCATCAGTGCTAGGAGGGAGCGGGAGTTGTGGAGAGGAGGAGGAGGAAGAATTGCCCTTGGTGCTGTCTGAGCTTGACTGTTAAGCAAATCACTGCCGTTCTTAAGTGAGTTATGCTGGTCTGAAGCTGGCTGGAAAGGCTGAAAATAAGATTCACATGACTCCAATTGTTGTACATACCTCCGGTTGTCAAGCGTCCGATTTTTGATCATGTGACCATGCAGATGCTACAAGGGTCCTAACCACAAAGGCTGGTTGCAGGTCCACTTTGATCAATGCTATTGTGATGTCACTAAACGAGTCATCGTAAGGCCCATCTGTATATCAATTATGTCTTTTTTCTCACAAGTGTCCCTCTCTCGTGTTCTCCGCAGGAACCATGCAAGCTTGGACGCTCTTACCCATCATGGCTTGTGGCCTCCTGATGCTGTGCCCCCAGGGGTCCCCGACCAGCATGGGCCACCCACTCCCCAAACCCCTCCAAGGCCCACACACCCCTCATCCGTTGGTCAACCACACCCCGCTATCCGGACCAGAGAAAGGTTCTCCCGCTGAGTACGATAATTACGAAGACTACTATGAAGATTACTACGACAACTTTCAGAGCACCGGGCCCCCCCGTTCCGTCTCCCCGGGGCCACTGACCCCCTTTTGCGCCTACGACCGCTGCAAACATCTCCAAGTGCCTTGCGTGGAATTGAGTCGGCTGAGCAAATGTTTGTGTCCCGGAGTCACCGGTCCAGACGTAACCCCGGACGCTCCCCGTTTACGAGCGGTCCACGTCAGCGAGACCCGAGCCAGCTTGCACTGGTGTGCCCCCTCGTCCACAGTCCACATGTACCACCTCAAGTACCGTCTCCCCGGCGAGAACTTCATTTCGGGGCCATTGCTAAACAGCACCGTCCGCGTCACGGTGCTGTCTGACCTCGTGCCTGGCACCGAATATCTCCTCTGCGTCGTGGCGGCCAACCGAGCCGGGTCCAGCCCGACGGACGACGGCGTTCGAGAACATGGACCGTGTCGCCGTGTCCGAACTCCCGCTCACCAGATGACCTATGTCTATATAGCGGTGGGTTTGGCCTCCGTGATAATCCTGGGGGTTGTTTCTGTCCTGCTGTGGCGTTTCTACCTACAGAAATCCAAACCCATCCAGCACGGATCCTTGGATAATATCCTGGATGGTGAGCTGAGTTCGGGACACGCCGGAGCCACCAACAGCTCGTTCCGGACGGAAGAACAACTGTGAGGGTGGCTCCTTGGTGTCAGTTTCTACCAGTAACCCGTTTTGGACAATCACCGAGTATCTTTTTATGGCGGGAACACGGAGGCACAATCACCTCAGGCTGCTCAAACGATAGAAGACCGAGGGCCCCAGGGTCATGGGATTCCCCACTTGTGACTTCTT